CCCCCCAAATTTGGGTTAACTCGCTTGTTCTTAAAAGCGACCAATCGTTTGGTGTCGTTTTAAGAGACCAAGTTATTGTATTTTTATAAAGTTTATTTAGTTACGCAGGGTTTGTCCAGTGTGGAAATTCTAATGAACCTCATAAGTGGTCGCTTTTAATAAGGACAAGTGGGCTAACCCAGATTTCGGGGGTTTCCAGAAATCTTAACAGACACCAAAAGTGGGCATTGCCCTAACTGTAGGAGAAGTTTGGTTTCATTGGTGTGTATATTTGTTTGTTTATAGAGAAAATTCTCCTTCTGTTTTAAAGCAACTGAACAAGGATCCTAAAACTTTACATTCAATTTTCTCAAAACAGCATTTTTTTGGGAAAGCCCCCTTGTGCTTAAAAGCGACCAATTTTTAGACTGTCTTGCTTTTCAGATTATTCTGGCCATTCTTCAGTTGCGCCACATCTCAAATGCAACTAGCCATTCTCTGTTTTCGTTGTTGTTTGTCAAAATTAAATTTTGGTTACAGACGAAATAAAATTGCGCCATAATTGAACACAATAACAACAAAAAGCAAAAAAAAACCATCAAATAAATAAACAATTAATTAAGTGTTAAAATTATGTTGGTTCGTTGCCTGTAAAAGAAGTCATAGCATGTTGTCGCTTTTGTCTATAGTTCTCAAACCAGGCTGTTCCAAGGCTGAGTGGACGGGGGAGGGGGGTTAGAAGGGAGAACGGGTACTAAGGTTAACCCCATGAATTTTTTGAGTAAACTTGCTGTGAAACGTTAGACATTTCAGACACTTACAAGGTATTACAGAGAGAGACAGAGAGAGCGAGAGCGAGAGAGGGAGAGCGAGAGAGCGAGGGCGAGAGACAGAGAGAGAGAGAGAGAGAGAGAGAGAGAGAGAAAGAGGGGGAGGGAAAGAGACAGCGAGGGAGGGAGAGAGGAATAGAGAGAGAAAGAGAGATAGAGAGACAGACAGACAGAGACAAAAAGAGAGATAAAGAGAGAGTGAGAGACAGACAAACAGACATACACACACACACACACACACACACACACACACACACACAGAGAAAGAGAGAGAGAGCGAGAGAGAGAGAGAAGAGAGAGAGAGAGAGAGAGAGAGAAAGAAAGAGAAAG